AAATCTTCATTTAATATGCATGGGATTTGGACTCCAATGGACTCCCATAAGGGAAAGGCCCCATTTTATATTTGCTGTTTTTTTTCCCCAAAACTGAATGAAAAATGGGGATTGATGATTTTAAATGGACAATAAATTTGCATTCCTTTACCCGTAGGATTTTGACTCCCCTAGTCTTTCAAATATTTCCAATATAATCTTCATAAAGTAAAAGTAAAGATTTAGAAACGATCATCAAATATTAGATAGATAGCTTTTTCACAGGGGAGTCACTGGGTGATAAAATGCACATTTTTAATTTTCTTATTTTTCATGTTTTTTTTTTTTTTTAGTTTTTTCACCCAATACTTTACCATCCAACTTTCAAATATTTCCAATATAATCTTTATAAAGTAAATTTAAAGGAATGATGTAGAAATGATCATCCAATATCAAATAAATAGCTTTTTCATAAGGGAGACAATGGGCGGTAAAGTGCACATTTTTAATTTTCTTATTATTCATGAAAATTTTCACCTGCCAATTAAAAATAGTGCCAATGTATCCTCCATTTTACATACTACAAGATCACAGTCATATACTCAAATAAAATAAGATTTATGAATTTTTGTGGAGAAGGAGTCAAATTTTCATGGGGGGAGTCAGATTTTCATTATGAAAATCTGACTGGGGGAGTCAGATTTTCATGGGAGTCAGATTTTCATGTTACAACGGTCCTTTGCTCGCTTTACCTCCACCTGGGTGAGTATACACTGTGTATGGAACATGCGGAAAAATCTTTTTTTTTCCTCAAAATGGAAAGTTTCGCAAAGGTAGCGCAGTCTATCAGGTATGTAATAATGATAGATTTAAACTGATATCTGTATATCAGGTGACCAAGGTGACTGATTACTCATAAATAATAATTCCTCCAGGTCTTGAATCTTTCACAGGCAGATTTCTTTGACCATACTGATAGTCATAGCACACATGATATTGCTTGTGTAAAGCATTTGATAGCAAAGATATTTGAGGTTACATAGACTTATTTATCCCATGTGGAAGTAAAATTATCAAGGGACCGGGCCTCAGAGGCCCGGTTTCCAGGAAATGGGACTAACTTTTGGAAAAGTTAATTTCTACATATGGTGTAAATTATTTCAAAACTAATTATTAATCCATTGATGGGGTATAAGTTGCCTGAGGATTACATGAAAGGACCAGGCTCAAAACCTCATGCGAACGAAGAGAGAGCAAAAGATACATGGGTCTGGGCCTGCGAGGCCCCTGAAAGGTGATTGAGGGTTAAGTGGGTTTTAGACATAACTTAGCTTGACAGTAGTTCTATATTATTTCTCACTTACCTTTTGATAAAATCATTAAGCATTCCTCATACCATTTTGTTCATAAGACAGTGTTTCATACCTTAGGACAATGCTGTTGGTTGTGTCTAAAATGCCTATTTCAAAGTCGCCAGTGCTTTGGAGAACAGTTTAAGACTAGTTTTCCCCCCTCTCCCCTTTCCTTCACAAAACTACAAATCTGCTCTTTATCACGGATATTTGAATAATTGATGTAAGTCAAGGTGCGTAGATTGTGAATTCTTCCATCTTATATCTTCAAGGGCGTATTATGATATGCGTGGTAACACTTGAGTTATAGATGTATACAGTACAGTTCTGGGCTTAAATTATGCAATGATTAATCCCTCAAGCCTTAGTCACACAAAAATGATATAGCTCCAACATACAAATCGAAGTATCTTTTATCGTCGGGATATGCCACACAACCCCCCCCCCCCCTCCCCTCCAAGCTTCGGTACCATTTAGGCACCACTATCAGCGTTTGCTTGTAAAGGCTGCGGTCGGAAATCAAAAGCAGTAAAATGGCATTAGCACGTATTCAACAATTTCTCGACATCGCCAGAGTTAATGGAACGTTTGTGCACGGTGGCATAGTACGGGTATTCACTACGATTCAGATAAGCGGGACCAAAGATGGACCTCTCCTCTCTTATGATATAGATGAACACATGTTATTGATTAGCTTTTTCATACATCTATCAGCGACGCAGATTTAGTTTGTGCACTTTTCTCCAACGCGAGAAATGGAGATATGTGCAAGAATTAGCTAGAGAATCTGCGAATATCTTGTGAAAAAAATCCATCTGTGTCCTTGGTAAAGGGTACACGAAGCTTTGTCATAAGGTTAATTATAATAACTCCTTAGTAATTTGAAGTTCCATGTTTATCTATAAATCTTTGAACATCATAAAGAGTATTTTCATCCATTTTCTACTTTAACGCTCTTGCTGATTTTAGTGTTAGTTTTTAATATAACTAAGAGAAGAAAGACCAACATTTTAAAGCGGCTGCAAAAGTTGAAAACGTGTACAGCTTTGGGAAACAGGAAGTGATACGTTTACACCCCTCCTTTTCCTTTGCCTTCGTAGAGAGCTGGCAGCCTGTCTTCACCACTAATAACTGAATAATGGATTAAAGTGACGCTCTTGAAATATTGATGCGGAAAGTATAAGCCTGTGATACAGTTATGCCAATTTTGGTCGACCATACCTTATAAGCACAAGAATTGTATTTTACTAAACAGATACGAGTCTTTCGTTTTTTAGGGAGTCGTAGCAAAGCCGTCTTAACCCAGGGTGGAATCTACGAAATATACAGGTAGTAGTAGGCCTATGCATGGCAAACACAAAAAAAAAAATTTGATATAAAGAGATAACCTTTAAAGGTT